TTCTGACTAGAATTGAGTCGGACTACGTCAGGCTACCAGGGGTTGGCCACGAAATGGGTAAATTGTAGTAGCATCAGTTTAGCATTTCATCCCATTATGCACAGCAAGCGACGTAACATAAAAAATAAAAAAAGAAGGAATCACAATAAAGCAAGATATGAGTTTTACTGAAGTCTTTCTGAGGTTTAACACAATAGCTTCAGATTAGAAATTCGAAATTTGAATTTGAAATTAGGGCTTTTAGTTTCAGTGGCCACCCCAAGATTTTTAGTGGCCCCATCTGGCCCCCTAATGAAACATTTCTGGAGGCGCCACTGCTAATTGTGACATCATGTCCTGTCAGGTCTTGTATTGTTCTGTGTTTTATGTGCCAACAAATGAAAGACGGTTTTTCTAAATAAAGGTCTAAAGATAAATAAGAATGGAGTCTGCAGCATCTGGCAGCAGGATTGGTCTGAATCACTAATTTGTTTGTAGACAGGCCAGGCTGTAAACAAGCCAGGCTCCTGACACATTTCCACTGAAACGTGGCCAAGAATGTGAAGAAGTAAATGATCTTTGGGACCAGACTAACCTTCTGCTCTGTGTTTACAGGAGCTGCAACACTTTTTCCTGAATATTTTACCAGGGTGACTATTCCTAAGACCATCATCATCACTGATGCAAAGCTCAACATCTAGTGGAGTTGGAGAGAAAGAAACACTGAAAATAAAATCTAGACCAACTGATTGAACCAGATGTTTAACCTAGATAGGCGGTGAGGAAGTGGGGGCAAGAGAGGGACATGAGGGCCAAAAAGAGCGGGGATCCAGGTGGAAAAAGGGTCCCATTGTTCTCACGCACCTCGCTCTTCCAGGTGGTCAAACTTCACGAGTTGTTTTACTCAATTGCAGTCATAAAAACCAAAAAAAGCAGGCCTCCTGTCTGCGGCACCTGAGTGAAGTTGGCCCCCCCACCTCCTTTAAATCAGACAAAATTTGTGTCAAACGTTTGTGCAGCAAAAATGTTCGTTTGTGCCGCTATCGTTTTAAAGATATAAAGACATATTTCTAGAGGTCATCAAAGGTCAACCAGCCCCCCCACCTTCTTCAAATTAGACGAAATGGGTGTCAATTAACTCATCTCTGTTTGTGCTGCTTTGGCTTTGAAGATATTAATGAAAATGTAAAGGTCAAAAGGTCAACCAGCCCCCCCCCACCTTCTTCAAATTAGACAAAATTTGTGTCAAACGTTTGTGCAGCAAAAATTTTCGTTTGTGTATCTTAAAATGTTGTTTCTAGTTTCGTTATATTAGTAAAGAGGTTCATAAATCTTTTTAAACAGAAGTAGGGAGAGCTGCAGATTTAAAGATGAAACAGATTTACTGTGATATGCAACATGCAACAAAATAGATCTCAAAGTTTACAAGAAAAAAATATGCTATGCTATATTTAAAATTCATCATATCCATATTTTTCTGGTTGGAAGGAATTGAAATTGTACTTCTAGGGATGCATTAATTATTGATTTTGGCATCCGAATCTGCTGTTATAATTTTTTCATACAACATATTGGGACCCCATTTATGTAATGCACCAAAAGGCATCTCTCTCCAACTATCTATAGATATAAATATCCG